ACATATTCAGACCTTCAAATGTGTTTTTTGGTTATATTGTCATTATTATTTAATAAAGGTTAAATGTTAAAAAGGTTAAACTACAGAATATTTATTTAGTATTGATTTCTAATTTGTTCCTTTTAGAATTACTTCTAAAAAAACTTTCTGTCCATACTATAATGCAAGACAAAATAGTGTAATCTAACCGAGTACGGAATGGCCCTTTGAAAAAGTTATAGATCAAAGTTGTGGATACAGAAGGCGATCTTTGAATTTTCAATAAAATTTATTTTTATCTCCGAACCATTTGTGGGAATTAATTTATTAATTATATATACCATAACCACTGGCAAACAAAAGGCTCGTGAAAACATAATTCCAAAATTCTAGACATTGGAATGAATTCCTATTTCTCCGTTGCCTCTCCGAAAAATTCACCTGTATATTTTTCGGCTATTTCATATAACATATCTGAAGTACATCAACCAGTGACAAAGTGTATGCATTTAATTTTTTCTCACAATTCCTTCAATTTTTTTAATCTGATAAGACAGTGTTCTTATCAGCTTTTCAATATTTTGACAGAATGATAATTAGAGCTAATATTTTCGTATTTCTGTCCTTTATTAATAAAACTACTACTATTATAATTTTGTATACTTTACAGAATTAATTGTCCCAGATTTTAATGACATTTTTATTTACTTGTCATATCAGAAAATTTTCCCTATATTTTTTCATTATTTCATATTGCATTTTGCAACCAGTGACAAAAACCTTGTAGTTGATTTCAAAATTAATTGATGACATTTTCCTGGAATCCTAATAATACGTTTTCTAATTGGTTCATCTGTCGGCCTCCAAGCGAGGTGTAGTAACTGCATTTATTTATTACTTAAAATTATTAAGTAAAACAACAATCTTTAAGAAGATTAAAATAAGGGTACCTAATTCTTCTCTTATGTGGAAGTGGAAGTAATGCATTTTAAACTTCATCTAGATATAAACCCACATATAAGTTTTACCGAGTTTTACAATAGTTTTGAATAAATATACTAGATGATGTAACAAGTGAATAAAAATATATCATAAATAGCATTACAGAAATCTGTAAAAATACAATTAATACTAAACTAGAGTATAAAAATATTGGAAAATGTGACAAGAAATCGAACGCATTTTTTTGCTCACTGATGTATAACCTTTCCGAATACCATGAGAAATAATACCTAGGTGAACTTTATGGCAAGGTTACAATTGAATAGGATTTTTTCAAATTCGACTCAAAAGTCTTTTGAGCCTCAGCAGTAAACTACAGGTGTAACTTTCAGTGGGGGTTATACAGAGATTACTTTTGGCCGTTAGAAACAAGTATCAATAATTTATTTCTGCAAATTCCGTTGTGAAAACTTCATTCATTTTCTGTTTAACCTTTTTTTTAATAATTTTCGTACCCCGCCGCTGGACAAGCTAGTGTGACCTAGCGTTAGACGCAGCGCATGTGCAATTGAGAACTGGACTGTGCATTATTGTCAAATCACATAATTTAAAGGAAAGGTTATTAAAACGCAAATGTCCGCACCATCCACCATGAGAAAAAAAATATTAACACAATTGTTTGTAAAGTCTTTAAGCGATTTAAAAAATATATTTCATATCAATCATAGTAATATTTTTATTTAGTTTTATTATGTTTGATTTTTAAAACAGCAAAAATAATTATTTTAAAACATTAAAATATAAATTAGTTTTATTTACAATTAGTAAGGTATCTACAAACCAACATTTTTAATACGTAATGTGAAAATTCTTATTTTTATAAAACAATTTTTAATGTTCGGTGCTTCGTTCACAATGACATGACAAAAAACCTTAATGACGTTTTTCTGTATCGATGGTCAGTAATTTGTTATTAACAAAAAACTTGCAAAATTGCGAAAACTTAAAAAATCGATATGAAAACACATTGGTTATGTATTTTGAGCATAAATAAGCACTTTAGAACTTTTGTGATTTTTTCGAAAAAAGCTTTGTGTTCGAGCTACGAGCGATTTAAGGTCGAAAAATAACCAAAGGTCGCCATTTCCAATTTACGTTTTCTCGGATTGTACTGGAGCTTTTTTAATTTTTCTTGTTCGTGGTTACTCACCGAAAGTTATATTTTCATTAGTTATATATTTTTCATCCTGGTGACATTTTTCTGCCTCATAAAATACGCGACTGAAAACTCGTGAAATTCACCTTTTCAGCACGCGCCGAGCCATGAGCAAGCGAGTCTGCGAGCAGTCGGCAATCAAAATTTCGATTCGTAAACTATTGATTCAGCAACTGTATACTTTTTAATTAATGGTAATGTCGTACATTATTATCTAAGATTACCAATACAAACCTAATACTATTTAAATGAAAAATAAATAAATTTAATTTTGTTACAAGAAATGCATATAAAAATATAGGTATTTATTCATATAAAAATACTATTGTACTCGAATATAAACTTTTATAAATATTATGAGTGATGAAGAAATATGTTCTTGCCTATCATAAGTCTTTAAATGTTGCGATCTGTGCTCTTGCTCTACAAAATGTCAAAATTTAGAAATAGGAATCGACGGTATGGAGGCAGGGACTGACGGTGAGACGTATTAAAAATGTATTGTTAATGTAATTGGAGACCATTACCGTTGTGATATTCGTGTTGAGCGACCCCAAAAACCCCGAGGTAACGAGTTTCGGCTAAGTTTATAACGAATTTCCACAAAACTCCAGGAGACGACGTTAAAAATACATTTTTCTTATGCACCGATGCAATTTTCATTTCTCATTGATCAGATAGGGTCACAAACTTTCTGGACGCTCTAACGAATCGAATGCAAAAAACTGTATCACGATCCATCTTGCTGCACAAATTTCGGAGGTAAGGCCGTTTTTAGTGCTTTATTTCCTCGACTATTATATGACAAATACTATATTAAAAAAGTTTGTGTTGACTGTTCACTACCGATTGTTTCTCTAATAGCGGTTTTACACAATCAAATAAATTGATGAATTAATTAATAAGTTTATTGAAAATATTGGATGTTGCAGTTCAATTTTTTATTGTATATGTATAATTTCTCAGTAGGGACAATTTTAATTATTATTAATATTTGTTTAATATCAACTTCTAATAATTGAGGTTATCTATACCACACTTACTACTGTATTTTGTATTTGTTTTATGACAAGAATGATACTGAGAAAAAGTTAACAAACCAAAAAAAGTGTATTGTATGCTGCTTTATATTGTACAGTGCCTTCATAAATAATCGAGTCCCACGTGACCACATTTGTTTTGGCGCTCAGTAAATTTGATTGTGATCAACCCTAGGCAAACTGTCAATCCAGAGGAGTTCGTAACTTTGCGTGTTCTTTATGCCTATTGTTTGTATAATTAATTTGGCAGGGGTTACCAGAATTTTTATGCTTTTCTACAAATTACTCTTTGAAAAAAAATGTTCTTTTCAGAAATCTAAAAATTCTATGTGTTCACCGTAAATAAAATTGATATGTCGAGAGAAATATTTCAATCAAGGTATGTCCGTAGGTGTATCAGTTGGGACAAAGCATTAAAGAAGCAGCTGCATGTGCATCCCTATAAATAAGGTTTCTGTTTTGCAAGAGTTACGTCTCTTGATCACAACCAACAAGTACGATATTGTGGATGGTTTAATGACCATTTAAACGACAATAATTTCTTAGACCTGATCTTTTAATCCGTTGAGGGATAGGTACATTTATCTGGTTATGTATGTATGTTTTTTCCAAGAAGTAATAAATGGAGAACGATACCATAACAAACCCGGGAATTAATGCATCACGATAAACTGCAGCTCGGGTATTTTCAACAAGATGGAGCTGCAGCAGAAACTATATTCAGGAATTTTATGGTGATAGATTGGTTACTAGGGGTTTAAAATCCTCTCCACACACTTGAAGAGCTGGAAGCAGCAATTGAAACGCGTTTTTGAGTGCATGAAACGTAGAGTAAATTTATATTTGGAAAACGAAGATGATCATTTAGAATATTTATTATAAATTTGATTGACATAATAAATCTTTGTTAGCTGATTAAAAAAATTTGTGTTTATGTTCATTGTAAGGTAAATTAATATATCTACAATTTACATTTAAATATTGAAAAAAATAAAGCACTGAACAATTTTTGTGATTTATTAACAATATTTTCATTATCTCTAAATTAAAGTGGATTACAAAAGAGCATATATTTTTAAAATGGCAACCTCAATAAAAAAAACTTTTTTAATATGGAATGGGATAAAAATTCAAAATGTCTTAGAGTATGATTATTTTGTAAGTAAAAATGTAAAAAATAATAACTTTTAGGGAATTTCGTGTTAACCACTGACTCCGTTGTAAGTTTGGTTGTCTAATAGTCGCGGTCACGTGGGACTCGGACATTTATGAAGGCGCTGTATTATAGCGGCTACTTACCTGTTAAGACAAAACGGCGTTGGTAGATAAAGCGTTGGATAAAGAGGGATAATGACAACATAAATTTAGTTAATAAATAATTCCAAGAGGATCAGATCAATTTAAATGAATTTAATGATTTTCATCACAAACACTATTGGCATTATATATTTAAATCAAAATGTAACTGGGATTTACTAACAAATTATTGTGAAATTGGAGCCAGTTCTATTAGAATTTCTGCATAAATATTGTAATCAGTAAATGACTACAATTTTGTAAATTAAAATATAATTAATTCAAGGTCAAAAAATATATCAATTTCTTTGTATAAAACTGCTATAAGATAAATCATGCGAACAAGAGCGACGGTGTCTATTGCTATAATAAATAATTATTATTAGTTAGTTAACTAATGAAATATATTCTAATATGTTGGTAAATAATGTAATAATATAATTATTGTCCAGTAACAGTATTGTCATCAAAATATTTTTCAAGGTAGCAACATTGTGGTAAACGATTAGTATTCAATACTTACATACCTATAGGGTTTTTTACTGTAAGTTAAACAACACGAATAATACTTTTCCTGCGAACACAACAATCGGTGATTGATTACTAAACTAGTCTGAAGGTAACGTGAAGCACAGTTTCACTGTTCTACTTAGACGATACGTATGTACGACATGGTTTTATTTTATAGATGATATTTCATACCTGAATCCTCATTTATCTCACTTATTTAACCAATCAGGTTTTCGAACAAGCGCAAGTATTTAGCATATCATAAAAACAATAATTGGATTTACCACAATCAAAACTACAATCTCACTGTTAGATATATTTAGCATGTGAACACGATTACAGTTTGCAGAGAAAATGAAAATATTTTATAGGGAACTATTTAAAATTGTAAGCATATGAACACAATATTACTATTCTGGACTGAAAATGGTTTCGCATTTGTAAATATTTACTTGAGCCAGATACGAGTATATTTTTAAACGCTTTTCTTTATTCTAATTCGTTAAATTTTAGAGATACAGGGTAATTTTAAAAGTGACAGCAAATTTTGTAATTTGAGGTGTTATTTGGGATTTGGGTTAGTTGGAATTTCCCATTCAACTTAACGTAAAGCTTAACAAAATCTTTTCAAAATACCAAAATTGAAGGAAAAGACATTTGTAATAATTCGAGTTCAAATTGTACATACATTTTATCACAATGTTAAATTCATACGCCAATAGTTGAAAGTTCAACAAAAATTTAATTTAAAAGAGTCCATTTTTAAACCTATATCTGTATAAATTTCATTTTTCAGTTAAGATTTTTGATTAGGCAAAAATAGTTCAATTAAAATAACCCTTAACTGATCCTTTTGGCTCAACGGTTTCTTTAATAAATATTTTACCTCGCCGAAATAATAGTCAATAGTTCATCGAACCAGTCGAGAGGTGATACGTCGCAAATGCTCTACGAACGACTTGGATCGTTTCAAATATTTTCCGAATTAATATAAATTATTATTTATCACCATTAATATTAGCGCTATCAAGCCGAATTTTTCACCATATATTTAGAGGTCCACTACTTACGGAAAATAAAGCAATTAAATATTTATGGATTTCATTTCTTCCTAATTATGAAAGCTATTAATTATATTTTAAGAGAGGGCAAATGTTATGTAAATAAACATACATTCAATACATACCTATTTTCATATTTAGTTCAGATAATTCGGTTCTTACCAAATCATGCTAGCAGAATATTTTCATGAAAATGAAAATAAAATCTAATGATGCTCTATTAAAATTGTAAGATTCCATTGACTTACCTGTAAGGAAGAACAATCTCAATTATTTGAGCATCGCAGTTCTCCTATGCTATGATTTATACAGGGTATTTCTTCAGCATGAGATAGAGCAATCATAAATGAACAAACTGTATATAAACAGGGGCGTAAGATTAATAGTTTTCAAAATACAGCGAATATTAATATTGAGGAGTTTCATCACAACGTGACAACAGCGCTAATGTACACCACGTGTACACGCGGCAGACTTGTCCTCCGGAAAAAACGTAAACAGGCTATTATTGTGAAACATTTAGTAAATTTCAAGACAATTGTTTTCCAGTTTTTAAATAATTAAAATAAAATGTATCGATTTTGTAGTACGAAGATAGTGTTCTGCTTAAATTTTAGCTCGCATTTTAGTAATTATGAATCTCTTAAAACAGGAACTTATCTTTTAATCAAATAATTACGTGCTTAAAAAATATGTAATTAAAGTAACCAAAGATTCACGTCGTCCAAATAATCATACGTTTTAAAAATAATTTAGGTACTTACCAAAAAGCAAAATTCAGTAAATTTTAAAAGCACAAGTATAAAACAAACTACAACATATGTTCAAAATGTTCACCACCATTTTCGATGCACGCACGACACCTTCGAATCCAATTTTCGCGCACACAAAACATTTCAAGAAAGGGAAATAGTAGTACGCAAAAAACACTCCGACACGGTCGAATCCAGATACCAACTGAATTCCGTGTTGGTGATTGCTGAACACCTTAGTGCTTCGTGTTAATAAACCGCCGCGCCGTTGTCACATTGCTCGATATGAATTTTATCAAATTTTAAATTTATTACAACGCTAATTATTTTTTAGAATTAAGCATAAAGAAGTTCAAAAAAGTGATAAACATTGTATTTTATCGTATTCTATGCACGCAGTTTTATCAATATTCCTTAATTAATCTCATTGCACATCAAGTTGGAGATTTTGATAATTTTTTTCTCAGAAATGGTTGAGTTTAGAACCCATGTCATTATAAGGTTTTTTTGTTTATTTGAATGTATTCTATCGTCTATTAAAAAGGCAGTCAAAGTTCTAACACCCTGTATTGGTAGGTAGGTACCACATATATATGACGCGCGCACAGGATTAAAGAAAAAAAGTGTCCAGTTCAGGATTATTAAAATTGGAGCGCTACACGAAAGAACGCATTTCCGTTGTTGAACTATTTTTTTAAAATAATGACGGTTTGGCAACTATACTTCAATTTTCGTACAAATTATAGTCGGAATAGTGATTTAACTTAATCATCTGTGAAGAGATTAATTGAAAAATTCACGGAGGCTGGATCAATTAGAAATCTTTAACACTCTGGCTCTCCTTCAACACAAAATATCGAAGCAGTTTGTGAGAGTGTTGCTGAGAGGCCAGGAACATCAATCCGGCACCATGGCCAAGAATTGCGAGAAGCTCTCTACAGCATATTCCCACGAAAGATTACATCTTCATGCTTACAAAGTTTAATAGACTCTAATCCTTGAATGGATTATATAACAACAAGAGGATGCTGATTTTGGATTGAAGGCATCTTCAAAATCGCGGCGGGTCAGGAACCAGTTAATGGTACTCGTGATCCCGACATGATAGTCCTGTTTTTAGGTACCTGAAGATATGGATGTAGAAGACATGTGGTTTCAACAAGACGGTGCCACATGCAATATAGCCCGAGAAACAACTGAATTACTGCACGAGTCATTTTCTGGTCGTGTAATTTCCCATTTTGGTGATCATAATCCTGCAATTTAATGCCGGCGGACTTTTTTCTTTAAGGTTTATCGAAGTCTAAGGCTTATGCCAACAAGCCCACAACCACCCACGTCTTGAAGGAGGAAATTGAGCGCTGTATCTACGTAATTCAGTTGCATTTACGCGAAACGGCCATGGAAAATTTCGACAAAAGAGTGCGTATATGCCAGCAAAGCCGTGGAGGCCATTTACCCGATATGCTGTTTCATACATAACCCTATACTGTATACTTTATGAACCAATAAAAAATTTACAATTTTTAATTAAAAACCTGTATTTTCTGTCAAAATTACTTCTTACGTAAATTTTGGGACACCTTTTATTTATGACGCGCGCACAGGTTTAAAGAAATAAGTGTTTCGTCAGTCCATTGCATCTAAGATAAGTATTGATAGCTAGCCAGTTCATTTTGTGACCGGATTTTTAGGAGTTCTTTTTTTATGCATTCTACAAAAGGCACAAGGAGAAGAAAAAAGAAAATAGAGACAGAACCTGCACTTGCGCACAGATAAATTAACTGGCTGGCTATCAATAAGTAAGTAAGGGACTGTTACGAAACACTTTTTTCTTTAAACCTATGTGCGCGTCATACATAACTGGTACCTACCAATATAAACCAAAGAAGAACAGAGGTGCGAAAAATAATATACCTACCTGTATTCTTATTCAATTATTAAACATATTTAGTAAAATATAACTTGCGTTTACTAATTTGGGATATACATACCCATATCAAAGAAAATTTTCTATCACTGGTTTCTGTTCTCACTATTCTGCTACTCTGTATTCTAATAAAATGTCAATACGCACTTTTTTGCCATAAATTTTTGTTTCATAAAAAATAAATAAATTGATTATAACATAAAATAGGTTTCTTATCGTCAATGAACAGGCTTCATTATTTGAATTCGTTTTGACATTGACATTTTATTATTTGAATTCGTTAAAGAAATCCTGTATCTGTATCTGTCAACTAGCGGTGTAGATCCTGAGGAAATTGTCATTAAGAAGCTTAGAATTTCGAAAACCTTGGTTCATTTTCTTGTCGGAAATTATTTAAGGAATAACCTCTTAAAATTGTGATATGGAACACTCCGTATACCTGTGCTCTAAGAATAATAACAAATTGTGAAGTATAACAGAACAAAAGAAACGATTTTTATCTTTTCAATATAAATAAAGTACGTATGACACGAATGTTGCCTTACTTAGAGTTTGCGATAAAGATCTAGAAATGCGATTTTAATTCGAATATAAACACATAATCATTGCCATCTCACGTATAGATAAATTATTACGTTTTACTTAATAAAAAGAAAATATGTTTTTCTATTTCCGCTTCTTGAAAATATGGAACAATAACAATACATTGAGATTTTAAAATGTGGCTAAAGCTATAGAAAAAATTGAGATGTATTTATTTTGTATTCATTTGTTAAACATGAAGAATATACCTACGTAATTTAATTTTACTTATTGTCAAGTGTATTATTTAAATTTTATCTTTTATGAAATAAATTATTTATCGTTGCGAATCATCAATTGATATATCATTAATAAGAACTATGCTGCATATGAAATGCCAAAAAAATATTCCTTACCATCAAGATAAAGTGTAAGTTACTGGAAATTTTATAAAAGTGACAACACCCATGTTAATAATAGCCTTATTAACTGGTGGACTCTGAGCGAGTTTAAGTACATATTTACTTCATCAAAATATTTTTTATAACTATTCCTTTAAAAATACATGAGCTATGATATTTTACCAGAAACATCAAAACGGAATGACGATTTTTCTATTAATCTATTATTCTTTTTGGAGCTTATATTAATGAAAACTGAAAAGAATTTCATTTCATTTTTAAATTGACAAATTTTTCCAAATCGCAAACCAAATTAAAATGACTGGGCTAAGGTAAAACTTATTCTCTAAGCTTTAAAACTAAAATTACGTTTCATATTTATTTGCTCTCGGTCACAGAATTTTAAAACCAGGATTAATAATAATGGACGATAACAAATGTTTACTTATAGGCTATTGACTATGTACTTTAGATAGGAACTACAACGTAACAGAAATTTTATTGTTTGATATGTTCAATTGACCCTAAAAAATGATAAAACCGCGGAGTGCTACCTTTTAAAGGGGTGCGTTTTTGAGAACGAAGTAAAAAGGTGGTATTTTCAGTTTTTTGAGTTTTACTCGAAAACTATGCATTTTTTCACTATAGTTGTCAACAGAAAAGTTGTAGCAAATTGAATTTCCAATCGAAATGAGACCTTTTGAAGTCAAAAAAAATTATTTTTAACAAAAATATGCCCAAAAAACGAGTAAAAAAAACCGAAAAAATGCGTTTTTTTTTCTTTTTGGTTTTTGGCCCACAACTTTTTTCTGAGAGGAGTTAGGTATAGGCATTGCTTCACAGAAAAAAAAGTTAATGTTTTTTCCTTTAAAATAAGCCTTTATAGAAGTACCTACGACTAATAGAAACCGAGATACATTGGATCAAAGTTGGCTACTTTTTGGATTTTTGGCCAATTTTTGCCCTTTTTTGACGATTTTCGTCTTATAACTTTTTTCTGAGTTAATTTAGGTATATGTAATGCCATATTCAAATGAAAGCTGGTTTCAAGACCTTTAAAATGGTGCATGGTAGAAGTTTGTACAATTAAAATCAACCGAGATATGTCAATTTAACCAACGATACTTTTTTCTTTTTATAAAATTTTTATTACTTTCGGTATTATTTTGTCTAATAAATTTATTTTTGTGAATGTGAAAGTTAAAATAAGTTTCTAGGTGATTGAATATTATTATTTATTTATTTAAACAACAATTAATCATATTTATCTTGTAAAATTTCGAATTCTTTTAATTATTTTTGTACTTTTAATTAAAAAATTACAATTAGGTACAAAAAAATTTTTCAATTTTGTAAATAAGAATTTTTCAAAATTAAAAAATTACCTCGATGTATTTTTACTTGAAAATGCTAGTGTTGAGGATATCACTGCTGCATCTGAATGCATTGTAACTATAATGTATAGTTAAAAAATTGACAGCCTAAAAACTTGTCGATATAAATTATTTCAAAAGTATTCAACAAGTGCAAAATTTACCTTATCTCGATTGCCTTCAACAACTGATGCTCTCAAACATCATGGGTTCAGAGTATATTTTCAGATGCAACAGTGGAATGGTTGTACTTTAAATCCCCTTGATTGGGGTTGGAAAAATTCCATAAATGGGCTAGTTCCCATTTTTAATAATAAATCTCCTGCACCTGAAAATTTACTTGAAAAAATAGCCTGTAAATGTATTAAAGAATGTATGGGAATAAATTGTGAGAATGCTTATGAGCCTGATTTTTCTGAAGAGGACATTGATGAAAATGATGACGACGAAATTGATATTAATATTGAAAATATACTAAATGAAACTGAAAATTTATAAGATATATATGATTAACTGTTGTTTAAATAAATAAATAATAATATCCAATCACCTAGAAACTTATTTTAACTTTCACATTCACAAAAATAAATTTATTAGACAAAATAATACCGAAAGTAATAAAAATTTTATAAAAATAAGAAAAAGTATCGTTGGTTAAATTGACATATCTCGGTTGATTTTAATTGTACAAACTTCTACCAGGCACCATTTTAAAGGTCTTGAAACCAGCTTTCATTTGAATATGGCATTACATATACCTAAATTAACTCAGAAAAAAGTTATAAGACGAAAATCGTCAAAAAAGGGCAAAAATTGGCCAAAAATCCAAAAAGTAGCCAACTTTGATCCAATGTATCTCGGTTTCTATTAGTCGTAGGTACTTCTATAAAGGCTTATTTTAAAGGAAAAAACATTAACTTTTTTTTCTGTGAAGCAATGCCTATACCTAACTCCTCTCAGAAAAAAGTTGTGGGGCAAAAACCAAAAAGAAAAAAACGCATTTTTTCGGGTTTTTTACTCGTTTCTTGGGCATATTTTTATTAAAAATATTTTTTTTACTTTAAAATGTCTCATTTCGATTGGAAATTCAATTTGCTACAACTTTTCTGTTGATAACTATTTAGAAAAAATTCATAGTTTTCGAGTAAAACTCAAAAAACTGAAAATAGCACCTTTTTACTTCGTTCTCAAAAACGCACCCCTTTAAAAGATAGCACTCCGCGGTTTTATCATTTTTTAGGGTCAATTGAACATATCAAACAATAAAATTTCTGTTACGTTGTAGTTCCTTTGTACCCTCTTTTTTTGACATAGTCTATTGCCTATTAAGCAATTTATAAAAAAGTGAATTACCTCCAAAATTAAAACACTAACAGACCACGGTAGTTTGTACGGAATTTGCCACAAAAATTAGTCAATCTTTGCCATAAAACGTAAATATTTCAGTCAGAAAGCTTCAGACGGCTCTTAGGGCTCAATTTGAGCCAAGGTCAAATTTGAACGAAAAATTTCCTGCTCTTTCCATTTTTGGAAAAAACATATGGGTTTCTAGTTGAAATTCTAAAGATGACCTCCAAATGACCACCACGTTTGATCTCTGGGTCAAAACCAAGGTCATTGCAGTACGATCCCCTTAAAATCTTACAACTTTTGTTCTGTTTTGTTCAATTGGAGGTTGTCCTGCAAAGTTATTCGGGGTGATCGATTAAAATGGAACACCCTGTATAATCCATTCTAAAGAGAAATGACTGCCAAAATATTGATACTAGTTAACTAAGTATACGATATATTTAGTAAAATTAAATTAGGTAATAAACTTTTGACTATCTAATATACGAAATAATGCCACATGCTATGGGATTCCCAGAATCTCCATTAGTTAGACTGTTTCCACTATTTCCATGTCCAAGATCATCAGGTTCCGAAGTAATAACGATAGCACGTCCTACTACACCTCTAGGTCCCCCTGAGAGAGAAATAAGTGGATCGACTATGTGAACTTGGCTGACTCCGTTTTCGTCGGCTTCTATGTTACCAAGATCTCCTGCATGCCTTACGGGATCGGTTGGTCCACCATGCTGCAACTACAAAAACTTATGAACTGAGATGTTCAAGTACACCACAGTTTTCCTTATTTCTATTATTTTTATATTTAGAAATAGTAAGTAAAGACCAAAATTTTAATAACTTTTCTTGCAATTTCAAAGTAATACTTAAATGCTTTATTTCAGTCTATTTGCCCCTACAGGCATTGAATTATACTCGCAACACCTAGTGCAACAGCTAGGATCTAGATCAGCTAGGTCTGTGCCTGTTGGGTAGACTGACAAACGATCCTAGCTGTTGCACTAGGTGTTGCGAGTAATAATTGTCTGTTGAGTTGAAAAAAAAATTGTTGGTTTCAGAAGTCCAAAAATTCGACGTTTTTCCGAAGTTAAATGAATACCTATTTTAAGGTTAAGTTCATATTTTACATGTTATTTCATGTAGATTTGTATAAAAATGCCGTTTACACCGGAACAGGACGTGTTTATTTTGATAGCACATTTTCGCTATGGTATACGAAATAGTTAATAATGAAATACTTTTGAAAAATTTTTAATATTACTATTAGAATGTATCAATATAAATATTATAGTTTTACGCTGGTTAATTTGTATATTTACAACAAATAATTGTACAGGGTGGGCAAATAAGCGAGGTAAGCGGCTGTATCTCAGAAACTAATGATCGTAGAGAGCTACGGTAAAAAATTTTATAGGTAAAGTGGGCAAGGGAAAATGCTGGAAATTATTTTCAAGTTTCCAAGATGGCCGCCAGTGGGCGTTTCCACCATATTGAATTACATAAAGTTACGTTTCTCACGATTTTCCCCAATGAATGTAACAAAAAAGTATTTGCGTTTTAATGTTAACTTAAAGTCGAA